TATAATGTCCTCTAGTGGTAGGTATAATGTCCTCTAGTGGTGGGTATAATGTCCTCTAGTGGTGGGTATCATATCTTCTAGTGGTGGGTATTATGCCCACTAGTGGTAGGTATAATGTCCTCTAGTGGTAGGTATAATGTCCTCTATTGGTAGTTATAATGTCCTCTATTGGTAGGTATAATGTCCTCTAGCTGTAGGTATAATGTCCCCTAGTGGTAGGTATCATGTCCTCCAGTGGTATGTATCATGTCCTCCAGTGGTAGGTATAATGTCCTCCAGTGGTAGGTATAATGTCCTCTAGTGGTAGGTACAATGTCCTCTAGTGGTAGGTATAATGTCTTCTAGTGGTAGGTATAATGTCCTCTAGTGGTAGGTATAATGTCCTCTAGTGGTGGGTATAATGTCCTTTAGTGGTGGGTATCATGCCCACTAGTGGTAGGTATAATGTCCTCTAGTGGTAGGTATAATGTCCTCTAGTGGTAGGTATCATGTCCACTAGTGGTAGGTATCATGTCCACTAGTGTTAGGTATCATGCCCACTTGTGTTAGGTATCATGTCCTCTAATGGTAGGTATCATGCCCTCTGGTGTTAGGTATCATGTCTTCTAGTGGTGGGTATCATGCCCTCTAGTGGTTGGTATCATGCCCTCTAGTGGTAGGTATCATGTCCACTAGTGTTAGGTATCATGCTCACTTGTGTTAGGTATCATGTCCTCTTATGGTAGGTATCATGCCCTCTGGTGTTAGGTATCATGCCCTCTAGTGGTAGGTATCATGTTCTCTAGTGGGAGGTTTCATGTCCTCCAGTGGTAGGTATCATGTCCTCCAGTGGTAGGGTATCATGTCCTCCAGCGGTAGGGTATCATGTCCTCTAGTGGTAGGCATCATGCCCTCTAGTGGTAGGTATCATGCCCTCTAGTGGTAGGTATCATGCCCTTTAGTAGTAGGCTTATTAATAGCATCATTAATGTTAAATCAATGGTCCGTGCAGAAATCCAGGTGTTTGTGGTGTTTATACTCCCTCTTGTGTACAAAACCCTCTAGTGGTTGAGTGCCTCATAAATTATACAATGCTCTTTAGTACAGTTATCATGTGTTTCATACTGTGGTAAAGGATTGTGTCATCTATGTTAAAGAAAAAACAATGAGAATATGACATGTTCAACTTACCAAGCCTACCAAACAGCTCAACACCCAATGCAGCAAAAATAAAGAAGAGTAGAAAAAAAAGCAAGCCAAGATTTCCAACCTACAGTGAGGGAGACAAACATAAGTAATGATAACCCTATGTAGCATGTTAAATACTTGGTAATTGACACAAAGTCATTGCCAAATTTAATCAAACTTATGATTGTTCTAAGCCTCAGAAGATAAATTTCACTATAATCAACATAGTGCCTAACTAAATGTCAGATAAATCTGAATTTTTTTTTTTTTTGAGATATTGGTAGAAAAAATTTAGAACTCTTGTGTGCCATGGTAAATGAAGACATAAAATATTAATAACAACGAATTGTAATACATAGTCTTGTGAGTTATCAAGTTTAATTAATATATAAAGTTTGAACATAACCAGTCGAGGCCTGTCAATGTCAGAGATAAGGCTCTCGAATAGCATTCATTAAATTAGTGAAAATAAGCCACCAGTCAATCATTTTGTAACTGATGTGAATGTCCCATAATCTAACTAGAAAACACTGGGAGAGAAAAAAAAACATCACCAAGTAACCACAGGGAGCCCAGGAACTATAATCAACTGCAGTACGCAGTCTCTATGAGGGGGGGGGGGTATCGGCTGGTATCTAGTGTAAGAAATAGACAAGGGATGAAGGCTCCAGCCAGCTCACATTTTTTAAACTTGAATAAAAACACGTAAAGAATGAAAATTAAAATCTAAAAAAAATACCAGGTTGAAGAATATTAGTTGCTCCTTCAAATTTCGCCGAAGCCTTACCTACATTTTACCGATATCTGCAGAATAAATCAAGAAAACTACACAAATTTACTCCACTTAGAAATTCCTAACGGTTTGCCCGAACGCACGGCACAGTTGGAGGCGTGGCCTGTTCAGCATTTGTCAACAACCAATCACAAGACAGGTACAGCACTGGAGGATCTTCTTTGTGACAAAGTCATTCTTCAATATAACTAATTATATTTTATTTTATTTTTTTACATTTACAGTTACATGCGAAACGTAAATAAAATCAAAGGAAGCTTAGAATGAACTCCTGTGTTGGGGACACATTAAAATTAATTCAAAATTTAAGAGCTTGGCAACTAATATTTATCTGCTATTTGAGATGCACAACATGAAAACAATGTGATTCACATTATCAAAATTTATATTACATACAGAAAATACATTTAATTTTTCATCCATGGTTTTCAGTCTAATTAATCCCAGAGCACCTCTGCGATGAATTCAATTTAAATCTGATTGTTTTAGATATCAGAAATGGG